TTTTTTTAGCAAATAACCATCAAAATATACATATATACATACTTATTTCAATTATATTTCAACTTCTCATGACAACCCCTGCCAACTTTGACCATGAAAATATGCAAAAAAAAAAGAAACGAGTTTCCAGTGTCGCCTGCTGTAGTTTTGTACGCAGCTTCATTCGTACAGGCATACATATATTCATACATACATACATATATATATATATATACAATGCAAATTTATGTAAAGAACAGTTTCAAGAAATTCTTGTCTCCATTATGCCCTTAGTTGGACTCTCTGCTCGCCATGAACGTTTCAGCAGACGCATGTAGGTTGAGAACGCCGGCAATGGAATGTAAAACTGGTGGAATATTTTCATTTATTTATATTTGCAAATAAACTTATTTAAATAAGTCTGATAAATAATAAATTACTAAAAAAAATAAACAGAGCACAAATAATGAGTCATTTGACAAGCGATAACCGAATGTTTATTTTTTTATCGATTCTACATTCTGCAGATAACAGCGCCTTAAGGTAATGACAGATAAAACTTTAGCTTCGCGTTGACTTTGACGTTTCAAATGAATATGTGAGGTGCAAGGAGAAAATACTTTTCTCGCAGTTGATCTTTTTGGCAGCCGTCACTTGAGGTGTACCCAGTTTCGTTTGCCATTGCATAATTAACAGACTTTCATCGGCACAACATCGTCAAATCGCATCAATTTCTTATCAAACTAAAGGTTCATTTTTTTTTTGATTTTCTCGCGTACAGCTTCGGCCAAAGCTGCCTGGTCACGCTACACGTGATCTCGTTCAGCCATCTTGAGTCAGCTGCCCTGATAAAAGCCAGTTTAAGCATGTACTTTGCCATGAACAGAGGTAAATCAACATCGTGTACATGCTTTATTGTGGGTAGAAGGGTTCCTTCTCTTGTAGGTTCGTGTCCAGGTACCCAGACAACGGCAGTGCTATATTTAGTAGAGAGTTTGTTGAGAAAGTTCCTACATTTTGTGGCCACTTTTGACGTGGTGCCATTGCATTGGGGAGATGAGATAGAAGCTTGACTGGCGGAGTGTATTGTAACCGATTGTCCTACTGCCGTAGATTTAAGCAATCTATCAGCGGCCTCCATAATTGCAAAGAGTACCGCCTGAAAAACGCTACAGTGCTCTGGTAGTCTCATGTTCATATTTAATGGAAGCATGGGAGAATAAATTCCGCAGCACACTTTTCCATCAAGCTTCGAGCTATCTGTGAAAATGGCTATGGGGCATTGGTAGTTTCTCACTCGCACCTGTTTGGGATTCTCGTGGAGAAAACGATTTTCGAAGCACATACAGAAGGTGGTATAGTCTAGCTCCTTTAGCACCTCTGCAAGAGATAATATTTTGGTGTGTCCTATTCTGCAATTCTTTCAAGGTTGAGCAGCATTCAGTCTGATTGCATTGCAGGCCGCTTGTAGTTTCCCGTATACGTCCAGTGGAAGGATGTTGAGAGGACTTAACAGGGCTTTCGAGGGAGTTGATGGAAGTGCTCCTGTTCCCAGAATAGCAGAGGATCGTTGAACTCTGTCCTGCTTGCTACTAAAAGTAATAAGTTCCTTGGAAAACATTTCTTTGACTGTTGCGAGCAACCATGCATCGGTTTCGCACTACATTTACTCTGATGCAACTAATACGCATGCTCAGACACCCCGTACACTGCGCACCAAAGACGCTATTGCTGCTATGGAATGTGAGCAGAATGTCGAAGAAGATCTCATAGAGTTAACCTGCAATCATACACAACATTTGGTGCTATGCCCATCCGTTTTATTTGAAGATTTTGTGGAATGATCTCAGTTTGTGGACTTACAAAATCCAATTCATGCAAGATTTGAAGCCCACCGACCATCAAACGCGTCCCGAAACGAGGTGGCCGGTTTTCAAAAGAAAATTTTGCTCATCAGCGAAGCTCACTTTTGGTTAAATGAGCAGGTTGAGAAACCAAATTGACGCATTTGGAGTTTTGATAATCCATATGACATTGTTAAGGCGCCTTTACATCGCACATTTTCGCTCTGTCTTATGATACCGAAACCTGGACATTAATAACATCCAGTCAGTCAACGAGTTCAAGGCCTTGTGGCAGATTTATGGTTATTTGCCAATGGGAACACCGTCAGACAATGATCGATGCGGACACCCGCTGGTGAAAACATTGGCATAGCAAGACCTCTGAATGCTCAGGCGGAGAAGAGCCTGGTTTCGTTGGGAGTCTTCAATTGACGGCGACGAAAAAAAACGATTTTTTTTATTTTTTATTGTTAATACAGTTAGAATGACGTAAGCAGCAATTAAGTAGGTAAATAGTGCTCCTCACAAGCCATTTCTTGAGGTCGACAACATTTCAGAATGTTGAGTAGGAGATAAAGTTTCTTATAAGTATTCATAGCGCCATTATCTAGAGATCTCTTCAGTTTATCAAAATTAAAAAAAAAAAAAAAAAAAGTCGCTGATTGGTTTTTTCATAATAAAAAAATATCTCACCACAAGTAGTTTACGGTAAATTATTCGTTTATCTTATCATTTTTTATATTTATAAGTACTGTTATCATTTGATATGCTCATTCATAAGAGTACTAAAGTGTTTTGTTTTTTTAGATTTTTATTGTTTTGTTGCCGCGAGCGCTTCGAAGTGAAAAATAAACCGTAAATTATATTATTATTATTATCTTATCTCGATGCTTTTAATGAGTACGAAAAATTGTTATTTTTGTAATGTCGTTACACCTGGCACATAGAAACCCTTGTTCCTGTTGGCGAACTATTGGTACAATCGATTTTCACAGGCATCTCTTGAAGGCAATTCGTCACCAGCCAAATCAATCGTCTTAGACACTAACAGATGGTAATCCATTTCTCGACAAAAAAAAAGACAAAATTCTTCGATCCTCAACATTTCCCTCCTACTTTATGATGCCATCCAAGTATGTGACCTTAACAGTTAACGAGAGCAAGGTTTTGTGGCAGATTTATGGTTATTTGCCAATGAGCGTCGGCGAATATCGTCAGACAATGATCGATGCGGCGAAAATAGTGGAATAGCAAGTTGTCTGAATGCTCTGGCGGAGAAGAGCCTGGTTTCACTTGGACTCTTAAATTGGTGTGAGCTCCGAACAATCATACAATCCATTCATTCATTCACTCTTTGATTGTGGATTTCATTGATTATTTGCTGATCAAATGAAGGAAATTCTTTCCACTTTCCCAGATGCTCAAGCCCATTGGTTCATTTTATGAGGTTTAGGAGACACTGTTGCCAGCTCTGCAAGGCAATCGCAAAAGAAATTTCTGTGAAAACGATAAGTGACAGCACTGATAGTTGGCCAGTGACAGAGGTAGTGTTCCACCGATTCTTCCTCATTTATGTCCCTGCAGCTAAGGCAGAAGTCGTTGTGTCGAGTCGAGTTCCCATATATATATACTCATTTATTTTCTTCACCACCCCGACAAACTGTAGAGAACGTTAACCACCTCTTGCTTTCTAATTAATCAGGTTAGACAAAAAAAATCTTCGAAGAAGCGCCAGAAAAGAACTTTCAGACAAGTGTGTAGAGGAAACCGAAATTAGGACAGTTCCAAGCCGCTGTAATTCAATTTGTAAGATCCGCAACGAGATATAACTTCTATAATATCTCATAAAGGCCTGTTAAAAGTAGAAATCTAATTCTTAGGCTACGGAAAGGCGCATACAATATTAAGGTGGTGTGCTGTTAAGCGCACGCTTAAACAGGTTAGATTAAGCTTGCTGACCTATTGGATCTCACATATGCGAAATACATGCATCGTGCTGCCAGGCACACTATGTACATGCAACCAAGCTGTACTGCTACACTTCTATTCTGTCTCTAGTATTCTTTTCGCGAACTTAAGTAGTCTTGCTGGTCTCTAGACCAATGCCGATTGATTGGGAGATTGAGTCTATAGCTTTCCTACGCAAAGTGTGAATACCGAATGTCGACCGAATGCGGGACATTCACAGATTACGTGCTTCATTGTCTCCACACGTGTCTTGCATGTATTACATTTGTTATCCACAGTCGGATCTATATTGAATGCAGTCCTGAGCAGCCTGGAGTCCGACCTCTTTACAGATGGTACAAACTACAGCTCGTTTCGAGAGTCTATACGCCGGACGAAGTAATATTAGATACTTTTTCCTCACTTCCTTGCACGGAAGTGGAAGGTTCAATGCTACGTCTGGTGCTAAGTAGGCGTCTTGTAATTCCCTGTATTTCTTGGCCCGTCGTACTTGAACGGAAACTGCTTCGTCATCTCACAGTTAGCAATATGGATTATTCTTTGTTTTTCATGGTCGCTCATGGTATTAAATCGGTTTCGATCGAGACATGCTCCGTCTTTGACCAACTCGTTAGCTTTTTTCATACCCCAAGCATATTCCTATAGCCGCCAGAAATCCATAATATAAAGACATCGAGAGTTGACTTGTCAGCAAGTTGACGGTTGCTGTCATTTATCTTCGGCCCTACCATTGGCTGTTCGAGTATATGGTTGTATTCTTTAACCTCTCTTAGTTATCGACTAGAGCACGATACCTCCCACTACTCCCGGTACGCCCACTTAGTAATTACTAGCCATTTTAGACGCGTTGCTGTAGATTTTGGATGCCCGTTTTAGAATTTGATGATGTCTTCCTCCCCTGTAATATTGTATTTCTTCGCCATTCACGTTCAGAGGGTACCTGAAAGCTACAGTTGAAATCTAACCTCGGGACCTCGGCAGCTGGAACACTTTCTACTCATATCTATCTATCGATCTATATGTATATATGTATCTGAGAAAAAAAGTATGAAATAAAAAAGTTGAAAAATTTTCTTTTGCTTGACATGCCAGCAAAAACGTAGCAGAAATTACAAAAACAATTTCAATTACATCAAACATTTCTTCACATTATAAATTACAGAAAAAAAATATAAAAAAAAAATAAAATATTTTTTCATATCCTTGCAGTCAGCGCAATCAATTAGTGAAAGATAAAAACAAAAACAAGAAAAAAAAACATATAAATAATGGCCGATGAAGCACAAGCACCACCACCAGCTGAGGATGCGCCACCAGCCGAGGGTGCCGAAGGTGCCGAGGGCGCGCCCGCCGAAGGTGCCGCTGATGCGCCACCAGCTGAACCCATCAAACACACCTACACCCTCTTCTACTTCAATGTGAAAGCATTGGCTGAGCCGCTACGTTATTTATTCGCATACGGCGGTATTGAGTATGAAGATGTGCGTGTCACGCGTGACGAGTGGCCGGCACTCAAGCCGAGTAAGTACATCAAATAAATTATACGATTTTTTTTTTTGTTTTTTTGTTTTTGGAATTCAATTCTCTTCATCCCTTTTACTTGCACAGCAATGCCGATGGGTCAAATGCCCGTTTTGGAAGTTGATGGCAAACGTGTACATCAGAGCATTTCGATGGCCCGCTTTTTGGCTCGTACAGTTGGCCTGAACGGTTCCACACCGTGGGAGGATCTACAAATTGATATTGTTGTTGATACCATCAACGATTTCCGTCTAAGTAGCGAACAATGTGTGCGCTTGCATGTTGCATGTTGTTTTGATTAATTTTTATTTTAATCTATAGAAATTGCAGTCGTTTCCTACGAACCGGAGGATGAGATTAAAGAGAAGAAACTCGTAACACTCAATGCTGAAGTCATTCCATTCTATTTGGAAAAATTGGAACAGACTGTTAAGGATAATGAGGGACATTTCGCATTGGGAAAGGTGAGTTAACTGCGGGAAATGCAAAAAAAAAAATAGTAGTAAAGACTCGTCTGGGTACTGGTTTAGGAAGGTATGGAAAAAGAAAGAGCTAAGTGTGTGCCAAAAACTTGCTCTTGGTCTTTGAAGATGCTCAGGTTGCGTGGATTTAAGTAACAAGCTCTACAATTCGACATTAATTTGCAGTCATCCCATAAGAATCGCGTAGTTTACACATTTTTATGGCTTCCTGTCGAAAATTATTCTCGTTCACATCCCTAGAAAGCCATATTGAAGTAGTTGCTGAGTGCACGGTGTCATTTTGTTTCATCTTCTCGGGCCGAGCCACACTGCTTTCATGCACAGAGTGCGCTTCGTTTCTACCCGTCCTCATTCACTGCGGTACTAGAGTATGAAGACTACTTTCTGTTACCGTCGTTTCCTCATTTAAATGAGAGACTGTATGTTTTTTCTTACAAGCAACCAGCAGTACTAGGTATTTTGGGCCAGCTAGCCAGTATTACCTGACCTAACCTAACCTAATGTCTCTCTCTCTCTATCCATCCTTGTGTCGCTTGTGTTCCAACTACACTGCGCACTGCGAGCCATCAAAGCGCCTAGTTAAGAAGTACAATTTGCTAGTTTATAGTATCTGCGGCAGAGCCGCTACAGTTCCATCAAGGAAGAAGGTACAAGACTATACGTGCCCTATTCAGTAATATGTGGCATGTTCCTGCGGGTTGGGTGCTCAAAAATTTACCCGTGATAAGGCAGACCTGTCGTAAGAGGCGACAAAATTAAATAGTTCTCGCGACAGTCGGGTATTTATACCGGAACGAGTCAGCTTTTTATCCGGCCGAGAACTGTCGCTCCCGAAAACCAATTCGGGGTATTTGGAGAGTCACTATCTTCTTACCTCTCTATCCATGAACGGTCTCATCGGAACCCAGCACAAAAACTATGTGCGACTATAGCAGACGAAGACCTCCAAACACCTTACATTTGAGCGACCACGTTCTAAATACTGCAACTTTATTAATTTCTAACAGATTCAGACTCGACCCGGACTTATCCAGCATGCAACTTGTACTTAAGCGACACTTACTGCTCTTTTCATGTATCCTAAAACCGACTCTGTTCAGTTGGAAGCCTTAGAAATAGCTTGGCTCTTGGGTCTCTCGTTAGATTTAGTTTTGTGCTCTGAAGCCGGGTTATCTAGCTCTCTGGTACTCTATTATATCAGCTCCCAGAGCGCAAAACAAGAACTGTTAAGTCGGACAGTATTCATCACTCTGCCACAGAGCCGATATAGCTTGGAAAAGCCTGCATCTGTGGTTGGGTTAGGACATAAACTGTCTTAGTCAGCCTTTGGGAAAGCATTTATATCGACACTACCTGATATAGAGATAATTTTTTATCCTTCTATCGAATTCCTTTAATTACTTTTGCTTTGTATTCAACTTCTTCTACTTTATCTTCTTCTTCCAGCTAACATGGGCCGATGTCTACTTCGCCGGTATCATCGATTACATGAACTACATGGTGAAGCGTGATTTACTCGAACAATATCCAGCGCTGAAAGCCGTCGTTGATGAAGTCAATGGATTGGAACAAATTAAAGCCTGGGTCGAGAAGAGACCCGTGACTGAAGTTTAAGAAAAAAAACACACACAAAAACAACAACAAACTGAACAAACTGAAGCTGATTACTAACTGATAGTATAGTAACAACAACAACAAAGTACAGCTTGAAAATAATGTTACTACCAAAGCGTAACGAGGGAGAGAAAACTAGTAACTGGATGGAATGAAAGCGTGAAAGTAGAAATTTTCGAAAAGAATGAAGAAGAACTAAACAACACATGATAAGAATATTAGTAGAAAAGCTAAGCTTTTTGAATACATACATATATATATATATATATACAAACACACAAACAACTCTATACTACATTTTTACGGATTTTCATGATAGGCAACAACAATAACAATTAAATAAAACAAAACAAAAAACATCTTTAAAAAAAAAAAAAGAAATATTGATAAACATTGCACTTTTGTTCCTTTTTTGTGTATTTTGTAACGGTAATTAATTAATATATGGACTAATATATACAAAAAAAATAATAATAATTTGGTGTTTATAAACGCCGGAAGAAAACAAAATATTAATAACTTTAATAAATGTTTTTAATGTGCTAACAGCATTAAAGGTGAATTAAAGGAAATAATTATAATTATTATAAACGGTTATTTTTTGGTGAAAATTTGCAATGGCATGGAAAGCGCATTTTTTGGTGGAGTTCCAAGTATCGAAATTTTTATTTCATAAAAATTTTTATATATTTTTAAGCAATTATTTTATGGTGTTAAAAATTATTTAGGGTTTCAGGGTATTTTGTTCTTTAATTTGTAATATTTTTTTTAAACGATTTTGGTGTTTTTTTTTTAATTGCTACTTTTTTTTTGAACAATTTATTGTATTATTTTAAGCAATTCTTCGTTTATACTAACAATTTATACAAGGTATACGGTATAAATTAAATTTTATTTTATTCTTAAAAATCAATTTACTTAAAAACCTGTAAATTTAATTTTAAATTATCATTATTAATTTTACAAATTTATTATTAACTTTAAAAAATTATTTAAAATATAAAAATCGATTAAATTTTAATAATAATTAATTTTGAAAATTTATTATCAGTTTTAAAATAATATTATTAATTTTAGAAAATTATTTTTAGTATTAGAATATTTTTTTAAAATTAAAAAAATTTATTTTAAAACTAAAAAATATTATTTTAAATTATAAAAGAAATATTTTAGAATTAATGATAATTAAAATTTATTTAATTTTTATTTGCTTGCGTATTATTTGGCCTTTTTGATAGCACAAAATTCAATAAATTCAATATTTCGGAATTTTTTTTCTAATTTAAAATTTTATAAACTTTAGACTTTTTTATTTTACACAAAATTTAAAAATTTGATTTTTGCACTTTTTTATTTAACGCAAAATTTGAAAAAATTTCTTTATTCTCTTTTTTCAATTCTTGTAAAATTGTTAATAATTAATTATGCATTATTTTAATATATGTATATTTTTTCCTTAATTTATTTATTTTAATGTAATATTATTTTAATACATATACATATATATATAGAGAAAGATCATATGACTTAAACAATATTACAGCCTTAATTTTCAGCTTAAAAAAATATTAAAAGTTGAAAGTTTATTGGCAGTAAATTTTAGTAATCATTTTTTCAATTTTAATTTTTTTTAACTAAATTTTAAATTTAATTTTTTTATTTTTTATTTTTTTTTTACTTTTAATTTTTTTTTAATTTTATTTTATTTTTTTAATTTTTAATTTTTTTTTTTAATTTTTAATTTTATTTTTTTTTTAATTTTTTTTTTAATTTTTAATTTTATTTTTTTTTTAACATTCTCTAAAAATATTTAAATTATATCTATTTCAAATATTTTTTTTATGACATTAAATACCATTTAGTATCAACGAAATATAAGTTTATTTGCTTTTATAGCATTTTAGTTAATTTTTAAAAAATGTTTGAGTTTATCTTATTATTTAATATTATAGTTTTGGCATTTTTGGTATTTTGTATGCATTATAATGCACGGGATAATGAATTAAAATACTGCACATTTTTTCACAATTTTTTTTTTTTCATGAATTAAATAAGGCACATAAATAACCTAAATTTTTTATAGATTTTTCAAATCTTTAATCCTTATATGTGTTTTATTTTTGTATTTCACAACAAAAACAAAAAATACCACTTTTCAAAACAGTAATTACTTTTAGGCTTAATTATAAACATTTAATAATTAACAAAATAATTCTCTTTGCATTCGTTTCTCCATTAGCACTAAGCGGGCGTATTTAAAGCCGCTCAAGTGTTATTGGGTCATAATGGCACTTAATATTTAGTAAATTAGTTTTCTATATATACATATATATATATAAAATAAAAAATTATAAAATATTAAAAGTCTATTATAAGCGATAAGCTCCACACGCAGGCAAGCAAACATTAAAAGGAAGAACAAAAACAAACAATTTGTTAAAAGAAAAAAATTATTTAATAATAAAAAAATGTTTTTGTTCTTTCTAGAGTTTTGTTTGTAAGTACATATGTATTTTAAATAGAAGCGACCGACCTTATAATTAATCAATATTATTAAACCATTTAAATTGTACTCTAATTTTAGACTAACAGAAGGGGTAGTAGAAAATAATTTAAAATTTTTTTTTTTTTTTTTTTGAAAAATATGTTACTAAAAAACTAGCAACATTAATTAAAAGAAATACATAAATTTAAATTTAAATTAGTAAAAATAAAAATTTAAAAAAAATCTATAGGGAAGCTTAGCATTGCCACTTTCATAATAGCGCACTTGATATGTATAAAAAAAATATATATAACAAAAAATATTAACAAATAACTTATTGAATACAAAGTCAAACGAACACTCGGTTAACAACAACAACAACAACAACATGAAAAACGTTTACACAACAACAAAAAAACGTTAAACAACAAGCATTAAACTTTATTGCACAATAAACAACTGCAACAAACAACAACAACAACAGTTAAGGTGTACACTGGACAAACTACCAAAAACCAGAAAGTAAACAATAAAGTTGTTAAAAAAAACTAGTAAAAAGAACGCTTGCATAAAGTCAACAAAAAAGCAACAACAAATTGAAAGCTCCACGTAAAGTAAAACAACAACAACAAGCATGTATTTTTTTTTTTTTTTAATATACTCGATTAATCCAACCAGCAGAGCGAAGAACAATTGAAAGCATTAATTGAACTTAACATCGATTTACTGTTCAAATACAACAAAAAGAAAAAAAAGGTTGAAAGAAGAAATAGCAAACTAAATCGATACAAAACATAATTTCGCATGTTAAATATATTAAACAAACTAAATGTTTTTGAGGAACATCTAACTGTTTTTAACATGTTAATGAAATTTTTCTTTAATTGTATTACTTTTATGGTGTAAAGAAGAAGAAAAGTAACAATAAAGAAGGCATACAGGGAAAATTGCATTTTTATTATTTTTTTCATGAAATTTTATACAAAATTTCTGGAGAATAAAGCATACATATACATATTGAATATATGATGTTGTAGAGTGACTCTGAGCAACCGAGAAATGCGTTTAAGTTGAAAATAAATTAAGATATATTTTCAGCTTGGCGACCTTATGGCATGCCCAGCGTTTTCTTTTGAACTATTTTTTGCTTTACAACTCGCCTTGGACCTGCCGCGCAGATACTCCATCTATAAGATGGACGCTAAAGCTCAACGATATGACAAAATGAAAATATGTATGTAAGCTCATACAATTTCAATTATAAACATTTTAGGTGAAGGAAATTTTCAACAACAACAACAATGAGTTAGCATTTATCAAATATTTTAAATCATAAGTGTTACGCTGTGACACAATCTCTTGAGATAACTCAGTACACAGTGTTCTGCTTAGCTACTTGAGCTAACAATTATCGCCTCGTTGGCTCGTTGCAACAATTATCACCTATTCTTTTTTTTTTTTTTTTAAATAAACAACATTTTGTACTTTTTACCAAACATTATTTGCTAGAAAAATATAATTTTATTAGTGCAATTATACATGTGTATAAAAAATATTTATATATCTATTGCTATTACGTATATATGTATATATATAAGTACAATATCATAAATAACATATCTTTAACCACATATTAAGTCACAAACAACTTATAGTATTTATGTAAATATTAATATGTATATAATAAATGCATTTTTTTTGTGCTTGTAGCAAGTGACGCTTCAAACACACAATAATGAGCGGCAGTTATCATTTTCTACACCATGCTCTCTATTTCTTTGAAAAATTTGGTTTACGTTTCTCAATGAAGCTTCTTAAGCCCTCCTGTGCATCTTCCATGTTGATATTTTCCACCATAACCTAGAATTTGCAATCAAACATTTCAAAAAATTTGCATTAAAATTGGCAATTAAAACTTATTTACATCTGTGCCCTGATCGTAGGCATCCTTAACACTCAAACCCAATTGTTTGTAGTAAAATGCTTTGCCCATAGCTAAGATGGCACGTGGTTTTTCTTTTATTGCTTGTGTGATTTTATTTGTTTCTGCGTCTAATTGGGCTTCAGGCACAACAACGCTAGCCAAACCTTAATTATATCAGAAATTATAATTTTTTAAACTTTTTTAAATATGTAGTCTAAAGCTTTATTTACCTGCTGCCAGCGCATCTTGGGCATTTATTGGTAATCCCGTAAAGAGCAAGTAAGAGGATTTCATGCGTGGCATAACGCGCGATATGGCAATACCAGGCGTCGTGCAGAATATACCGATATTAACGCTGAAGTGCAATATTAACAAATAAATAAACGAAAAATAGACAAGATAAAAAACAATGATAAATATTATCTGCTTTCAACACTCAATAGACCCCCCTTGAGCTTTGTCATTTACATACCCTGACGCAGCGAAACTAGCTTTATCAGACGCCACAACCATGTCACATGAGGCTGCCAATTGCAGACCAGCAGCAGTAGCCATGCCATTAACTTTTGCTATTATCGGCACTGGTGATTTATAAATATTCATAATGATATCAACAAGTTGACTAAAAATCTCATGACCACAATCACTAGATGCTGCCTGTAATTAAATTATAAAGTTTCATTTATATACAATACATATACTCTAACTATATACATATATGTACATACAATTTCTTTCAAATTATGACCCGCTGACCATACCGGCCCGGTGGAACTAATTACAATGCAACGCAAATCTTCACATTGCACATCCTTCGTTATGCCCTCCTGTATGGATGTCATTACTTCGCGGGAGAGCGTATTACGTGCTTTTGGATCATTCAAAATAATTTCACGTACGCCATCATTTTCTTTAATTATTGTACTTTGCTTCCGATAGCTGCTAGCGTTCATGGAAGCTACTGCCGCCGTTGTTGTTGTTAAGTTTGAGCTCTGCGAAATATATATAAATTGTTTACTGCATATTTGTTGGAGTTTTCCCACAAATTTCTTACTTTCGCTAAAGTTGTATATAACACACGCAACATTTTTTCACTTAATAAAGTTAAAATTCCACTTGTTGCGAATTAAATAGACACAATGACAGTTCAATTTGTGATAAGCAATCAGCTGTTAGCGCATCAACGCCTGCAGCAGCTGTTGTTTGCATAAATAACAACGGAGTCGGTAGGAATTTTTTTACATAAAATATTCAGAAATCAAATTAGAAAATCAATTATTACTAGATTATATTAGAATTGATAATTATGTTATTACTTTAACATTTTGAGTACACTTATGCTGTTTGGTTATTATTTTCTGCTTTTAGGACAACTTTATTATTGAAAGACATAACGATTTGGCTTAGATTATTAATAGTTGATTACTCATCTGAAGTGATAACGCAATGTGGTCTTCAAAACTTAAAAATAAATAAATAAATTAAGATAATCTATACAATTTAAAATATGCTTAAACTCGCTGAAGGAATTTTCAACAAAACTTCCCTTCTAAATTGGGTTGAGTGCCTTGAAGAACCTATAACCTTAGGCCGCCTGATGAGTTTTTTGAGGAGTATTTTGCTTGTCGGATATTAACTGAGGAGTTCAATTTCCTTTTTTTTCTATAATTTTGGGTAATATTATGTCTGCGAGTTGAAATCACTGAAGCCCATTCGTCTAGAGTAGCTAAACGCTCTTGTCTTTTGCTCATTTTTCTCTAAACTATTAACGATGGAGCTCCAATTGGATTGTCAAAGAATATTAGTAAGCATAAGGAATTTTTTTCTTCTTAACCGCTTAATTTATTATAGTCAAGTTATCAACAGCCTATTTAAAAAGCGATTAGTTTCCTTTAGTTGTTCGGCGCCAAGTGATTTTTCCAATAGAGGAGTCGTCACAGCCTCGACCGACTGGTACCGCAGACAAAACTACCACTGATGGTCCCTAGATAGCCAAACAATATCTTTGGCTGAATCGTACTGAATCTCAAGCTGTGAGAAAACAGTTTTATTTAATATCAGGAGATATTTGGTCATGTTTATTTTGTTGCTATGCCCAAAGTGAAGAAAGGGCGTATAATGTTAATATATTCAGCATCCGACAGCCTCGAACCATGTTCTACAAGCTTAGGTTGAAGGACTCACAAACAATTTATCCCGTCACCAGCGCTTAAATCTGGTTAATAGATAGTCGGAATAAGAAAATCTGAATAAGATAGTTAAATGTCGAAAAATAACCTGAAAGATTTTAGTGACTCAAATTTTACTTTGAAAAAAAAAACCGGTGGCTTGAAATCTAAAAATAAAATTATTTGAAATCCTCTGCATTTTCCAACATTAAAATTACCCATTCACAATAAATGATTTGCCAACAAATTGCAGCCAACTTCGTCTTATTTATAGGCACTGAATAGCAACAGCTGTTTTTCCTTTCATTCTGAAATAAAGTTTTTGTTGCAAAATTTATGTATTGGGAAATGTTTATTGTTTTGTGAAAAGTTTATAATAAATTAAATTGAATATTTTTATTAGATACTATGATGAAAGTCCAACAAGTATTAAATAAAAGTTACACCTAATATTAAAACGGTAAAAATCATATATATAAGGAATTCGCTAAAGGAGAACGTAAAAACTTATACTCAATTATTTTGTAAAAGTAAACAATTATAGCACATAGGTAAGTGAAACCATTTGATAATTCAATATTGATATAAGAGTATTAATGTTTAATTATAAGAATTACTATCAAATCAAGTCAGTGGATCTAAAAGTACATGAAAAAAGTTGTGTATACATCGGCGGCACACTGCCGATAATACAGATAACGGTCAACGACCACCTTAACATCTGCATATGTATTTATATTTATATATGATACAATATGCAAACATACAGAAATATTAAATAAAACAAAAGTACACAAAAATGATTAGAAGAAATAATTCTTATAATTTTACAAAACGATACCGCATCTTATCAGTTAAACAAAGAAAATTAACATGAACTTTTTTTATATATCCATTTTATTACATTTCTTTTTCGCAAGAACAAAGCATTTAGGTGCGTCAAGACTCTACTCATGTACCAACCAACTTATTTATGTATGTATAAGTCTTTGCTGTGAGGCAAGCTTTCTGGCCCACTGAACACAACGTAATTAGTTATTAGTGCGCTTTCAACAGATACACCAGCTAAACGATTGGGTGCGCATTTGTTCGCACATTCAGATTTCTCAACGGTATACATACTATATATGTATTTGTAATACTTTACATGCAAATAAACATAAAATCGTAACGAAAAGTGATTAATTAAAAAGTACAAATTCCAAAAAAAAAAAAAAAAATCCCATCGAGAATTAAAATAACTAGTGAGTAAATAAAGTAGCGCGCATAAATATGAAACCATTCCAAGCTGGTGAATGCACAGGATTGTTAGCAGGTAGCCTGAATAATGTATTTAGTAACAGAGAACCATGGCAAGTGGCAGCGATGACGGCAACAACAGTGCTTGGAACTGTTTGGCTATGGGGGTTCATCAATCAGGATGAAAGTGAGTAGTAGTGAGGACATGGATATGTATAGTGTAGTTTACGTATATGATAAATTGTGTTATATACATATATATTTTTTTTTTCTTACATTACATATGTACAAACATATCTAAAAGCGAGGCTGAGCAATAAAATCTAGTGATAAATTAAATTGACATTTAAATATTCATTCTTTTGCACATGCAAAAGCATTTTTCTATGCAATAACAACAAGTTGTGTAAGGCTACTTTATTTTTTTATTAAATATACATATGTGTGAACTTTAGCATAAACACATATTTTTAAATGTTATCAAATGATGTAGTTGATTATAAGTTTGTCATGCGTGCATATGCACTACGAAGCGTGTTTCTGTGCCTATATAGTTTGTCATAAAGTAATTACATATACATCTTTATGTATATTTTTATTATTATTCTAATCAAAAATCGGCAGTTCTTTCCTCCAGCTTTATCAGCGATAAGTCTCAACAAAAGTAGCACCTTATCAGTAAATATTTCGCAAGCAGCATTTATAAGCTGCCTTAAAGAAAAGAATTAAAATGAAAAAAATGCTGCCAGTAGCATAAATTATAAATGTTGCAATTAATAGGCGTTACTTCGGTTATCGAAAAATGCAAGAAAAACCGGCTAATACTCGCGAAATGTCACGCTTATAGTTAGCTCATTGATATACATACATACGTATGTCCTTTATCCTTTTATATTATATAATTAAAAATCTATTTCTGTATGGCTTGATATTTAACTAAGTTGATTGCTGCGATATTAAATTTTACCAAAATTATTTTTTTTTTTTTACAATACGAACTTGCGCCTTTGGAAACATTAAGAAGAACAAGGTACACACTAAAAATTTATACTTTATAGCACCAATAAAAATACCGACAACTTAATAATGACGTTGCATTTCCTTATCACAAATTGATATCGTAATAATTTACGCTTACAGTCGATAACAAAATTATATTATAACATTTTTTGATTATATTCGAAACTTTATTGCTTCTATTCTAATTTTTTCTACACACAACTTCTTTCACCCCTTCACAGACGTTTTTGTGCGTGGCAAGCGTCAGTTCTTTCGCTTTGCCAAGCGTTTTCCGGCAGTACGTCGTAAAATCGATGCAGAAATATCGAAAGCCCGAGCGGATTTCGAGGATGAAATACGCAAAAGCTGCGATGGTCTCAATTGGTCAGTTGAACTTCCCGAAAATGGTCTAGGTCGGGAGGAGATACTACAATTAGTAGATAAACATTTAACAATTGGCCATTACGATTGGCGTGAGGGACGCGTTTCAGGTGCTGTTTATGGTTACAAGCAGGAGCTGGTCGAGTTGATAACGGAAGTGTATGGCAAGACGTCCTATACGAACCCTTTGCATCCCGACATCTTTCCGGGTGTGTGTAAAATGGAAGCGGAAGTGGTGCGCATGGCGTGTACGCTCTTCCAAGGCGATGCAAATAGTTGTGGAACGGTGAGTTTATTTGGGCAAAAATATAAAAAAAAGAATTTCAATATTAAAAAAAAAATCGATTTTATTTTTTCGTCCGCACAGATGACCACCGGTGGCACTGAATCCATATTGATGGCCTGTAAAGCTTACCGTGATTATGCGCTTGAAACACGTAACGTGCAACGTCCGAATATGATCGTGCCACGCACGGTGCATGCAGCATTCGATAAGGCAGCACAGTATTTCAAAATACATATTAAATATGTAGAAGTAAATCCGAAAACATTTGAAGTGAATGTGGCGGAAATGGAGCATGAAATTAACGGCAATACGATATTGGTATGAAATATTTTTTTTTTACATTTTTTTCTTATTTAATTAAATTTTACCTATTTTATGGCAGCTCGTTGGCTCAGCACCGAATTTCCCCTATGGCACTATGGATGATATCGAAGCTATAGCTGCTTTGGGCGTTAAATGCAAGATACCTGTACATGTGGATGCCTGTTTGGGCAGTTTTGTGGTGGCACTCACCAGAGAAGCTGGCTATAAGATTAGGCCATTCGATTTTTCAGTTAACGGTGTGACTAGTATATCAGCAGATACGCATAAGGTTGTATACTAAAATTACATTTGGTAAATTTTTTAATAAAATTCACTTTTATTCTTCATTTTTAGTATGGTTTTGCGCCCAAAGGCACCTCAATTATAATGTATTCGGATCAAAAGTATCTTGATCATCAATTTACTGTTACCACCGATTGGCCTGGCGGCATATATGGCTCCCCCACCGTTAACGGCTCGCGCGCAGGTGGTAATATCGCCGCGTGTTGGGCAACTATGATGAGTTTTGGTCATGATGGTTATTTGGAGGCGACCAAGCGTATTGTGGACACCTCACGTTACATTGAGGCCGCGTAAGCGAGCATTTTGCACAACATAGAGTTTATTTATTGAATCTTTTCCACTTGCAGCATACGTAAAGTGGATGGCGTTTTCATTTTTGGTAAACCCGCTACCTCCGTAGTCGCTGTAGGCTCCAAAGTTTTTGATATATTCCGTTTATCAGATGCGCTCTGCAAATTGGGCTGGAATTTAAACGCGCTACAATTTCCCTCCGGGTATGTTGGTTGGAAAAATAGTTAAAGCATTATTTGTTTATTTACAAACTGCACTTTCATTTTAGCATACACCTTTGTGTTACTGATATGCACACACAAGCTGGCGTTGCAGATAAATTCATTGCCGACTTCAAAGCGTGTGTCACGGAGATCATGAAAGATCCTGGCCAACCTGTTGAGGGTAAAATGGCTATTTATGGCGTGGCGCAAGGCATACCCGATCGCACAGTTGTTGGTGAGGTGACACGCGCCTTCCTGAGCAGCATGTACTACACGCCGGCGCGGAAATGAGTGCACTTTCTAATGGTGATTTAGTTTTTGAAATGACATTCGCAAAATGGAGGTCATAAAATGTTACATATCTAGTTAAATAAAAATGATATCCAACAATATGGATATGGCATATTATTATAAAAAGATTATTGTTCCATAAAAAATTGATTGCTATGTGTGCTTCATAATATTACTATTTATACATAAAACCAACATTTATTTACAAAAAACCTTTATTTTTAGGCTTGTTTTTATAACATTGTGATTTATTTTTAAATAAATTAGTTCAAACTGTATACGAATTATGCCTACGTGTTATATAAAGTACTTAGCATTGTAAAACAAAAAATACATATATGTATGTCATAACATTTTCAATTCAGGTGTTCAATTATAATGTCAAATTTCATGATAAAGAGTGTTTTAATTGTTGTATATTCATCAAAAAGTAAAAAATAAAAGATATATATGTGAAAAATAAATTGTTTTTTACTTAATAAAAACACATAAGCATCCCTGCTTCTTTACTTTTATTATTTCAGTATAGCAATCGCTGTCAAAAGCAAACAATAGTAATTGCTCAAAATGTTTTTTTTAGTTATCTAATCGATTTTTAGACGAAAAAATAGTAATAGTTTAAAAAAATGTAGCAAATAAAATAATAATAAAATAATTAATTTAAAATTGTTATAAAAAAAAGCAATATAAAGAAATAAAAATAATTAATAATAAAAAATTTTTAAATAGTTATACAAAAAATAAATAACATAAATTAGTTATAAAAAAAATATAAAAAACAATTTCAAATTAGTCATAAAAAACAATATGAAGAAATAAAAAATAAATTATATTAAAAAATTTATTTAAAATAGTTATACATGAGAAAATTAAAAAACTAAATAATAAAAAAATATTTAAAATAGTTAAAAAAAATAAAAAAAATAAAATATTAATAATAATTAATTTAAAATGGATAACAAAAAAAACAATATAAAGAATAAAATCATAAATAATTATACAAAATAATGCAAAAATAAAATAAGGAATGATATTTTAAAACGCAGTGACACAAAAAAAGAGATAAAAAAGCTATATAAAGAAATAATAAAAAATAATATTAATATAATTATTTAAAAAAGTTACACAAAAAAAAAAAATAAAAAAAGATATAAAGGATAAAAAAGTAAAAAAAAAAATAAAAATAAAAAAAAATTAAAATAGTTACACAAAAAAAAAACCAAAAAAAAAATATACACGATAAAAAAGTAAATAATTAATAAAATAAAAAAAAAATAAATATATGTTAACATATATTAGTTATATAAAAATTAACTAATAATACTTAAATATACATAAAAGTTAATCAAAAAAATTATTATTAAGAAAATATTAATAATACTATCTAAATAAATAAAAATAATAACGGAAACATTAAATGAAATTTTTATACAAAGATATATAAAAAATATAATAAAAAAATTATACAAAAAATAAAAAGTAAATATAATAAAAAATTATACAAAAAATAACAAATAAAAATAGTTTTATAATGAAGTAAAAAATAAATAATAAAAAAATATTTAACATAGTTATACAAAAATATATCAATAAAAGTATAACATAATAATCACATATATAAAATAAAATAATAATAAAAATTTATATAGAAAAGTTCTGCAAAAAAATATTATATAAAGAAAACAATAATAAAATCTAAATAAAAAAATCTAAAATAAAAAATTGTTAAAACATATAAAATTTTTATGCAAAAAAATAACTAAATAAAGAATAAAATGATAATGATAAAATCTTATAAAATATTAAAAAAAAATTGGAAACATAAAATGATATATAGAAATATAAAGAAATAAAAAAATAAAATAATAATAATATAAAAAGAAAAAAATGCAAAAAATATATAAAATAGTTAAATATACAAAATATGTATACATACAAAGAAATAAAAATATTGTACAATATAGAAAATTTGAAAAAAAATTTATAGAAAAAAATAAATAAAAACTTATTCGAAATAATTATATAAAAAATAAAAGCTAATATAAAAACAAAAAAAAGATTAAAAAATTAAAAATATATATATATATACAAAAATTAAATATATATTAAGAAAAAAAGAAAAATAAATATGTAATTATAAAAACTATATAAAATAATTATATAAAAAATAACGTAAATAATATTATAAATAAATAAATATAAAACATAAAATCAAATAATCATTAAAAAATATTTAAAAAAAAATCAAATATATCAAATTCAAATAAAGCGCTTTCCTAACGATTACCAGTAAATCACCAGAAAAAGACTTACACACACACGCAAACTCATTGCTATATATGTCACATAAAACTAACTAAAAATGGCAACCGGCAACATAAACAATAAAACACCCACACAGGGCAATAAGTTAGCGCAGTTTGTCAGCCATGAGATGGTGCAGCGCTCCGCACACCACAACACGACAGACAGAGCAGCACCAAAAGGTAGCATTATGACACAAAAAAAAAACCATTTAAAATGAGTTTACAACAACATTTACAGCTGCCAAAGATATCTACAGGAAGCTGTTGCTGCTATTGAAACATCAACAAGAACAACAACAACACAGAGACATACCTTAAGCCGAAAAGTAGCACAACAAAACAGTGTCAACTGTTGACAGCGCGAATAACAGATCAAAAAGTTCCAAAATCGAGGAAATGGAATGCATTTGTGTGAAGGAAAAATGATTTTGTTATTATAATTTTAACAGTGAATTACAAAAAAAGGTTAAAATTAAAATAAAAGAAATTTTCGTTCTATAAATGTACAGTAAAAAAAATTAAAACATTTAAATAAAATTTATTGCTGAAATTTTAGGAAATAGAAATTTTCTATAATAAAAAGAGTATTTTCTTGAATTCAATATTTTTTTTTTCAAAATTATAGTATTTTAATGAATAAGTCGAGCTCATAATAAATTTTGTTTGTACTAAAAAAACGCTAAATTTTAACACCCAATTAGCACCGGCTGTGCGTTCAATAGATGGAAACTTGCTAAAAAATTTATACATATATATGTGATTTATAAAAATTATATATTTTTACATGTTTACACGTACATATATTGTATATATATGTAAATATATATATATATATATATATATATATAATTGGCGCTTTGTAACCGCTGAAGCGATTTTCCGCTGAGCTCCTCCTCCAATTTGCGGTTTGCCTTTTAATGTTTTTCCAACCAATGGAGCGACCTACAGTTTATACTAAGCCGCATACGAACGGCTGATGGTTTTTTCACGAGGAGCTTTTATTTCATGTTCGCAAAACACTCGGAGGGGTGGACATTCCCTGCCGAGGGGCGACCGTAATTAGGAAATTTAACTTAATTTTTTATTTTATCTTTTGGATATTGGTGGCACCGGGATATGAACCCGAACCTTCCGAATGTCAGTACGCAATGCTAACCACTCGGCTACCGCGACCAGCTAACACCAGTACACACAGTACTCGTATGTAATGAAATAATTTCCAGCCGAGCTTCTGCTACAATTCATGGGGTGCGTCCTGTTGTTTTTCCAATAAATAAAGGATCCTACCTTTTGAAGTCCCCTCCGAACAGCTAAAGGGTTTTAAGAAGGAGCTTCATTTCATAAATAGGCGTAAAGAAGCTTACAATCTTCGCCAAACTCCTTCTTTCGAAACCTTTTTGAGCCTTTTTGAAGAGTTCTTCAAGCACTATTTTGGAGTTTTTTTATTCCGAAAAGTTTGAAGTTTTTGAAGAGGAATTAATTTTCAATAATTTAATAGTCATCTTTGTGTGGCCTGAGAATGATCTTATTAAGGCTTATATTTACCTTAGAATGAACGGTTAAAGAGGAACCAGTCTTAAGCCATTGATTAGACTTGCTTTTGTATTTCAATTGTTTGTCAGCGAGCAGCTGCCGGGATTATCGTGGAAGATATGACGTCTTAATTTACTCAAAGCCGGGCAGACCCAGAGAGAGGGCTTCAATCTTCTTCGGTGCGTGCTCTACACTCAGTTTATTCCAAACTATTTTACCGTGATAGTCTGCTAATCACCTCCTTGCAAGTTCTCATAAATTTGGAGTTAGCATCGACTTTTTAAGACATCCGTTAATGACTACAATTGAGCGATCGAAGAAACCCTACGCATTGTGCATACCTCGAATCGGGAGCCATCGTTTTGTAAATACATAGGCTTCCGCTTATTCTTCCCTCTTGACTATTTGAAAAGAATAGGTGTCTTTTACTCAGCAAAAGGATTGTTTTTCCACGTCACATTGCACACATATTCCGAAAGAATATACGCCTGGAAAATGTACGACAGTCCACCAAACCAACAGATTTTTTAACCAAGATCGAGGCCACCTTATCAGCGCCGAGATCACAGAGATGGGTAATGATGGTTATATAGTCGGCAAACTGCTTAATTCTATAGAGAATCCATCTAGACCTGAATGTAGGCAAAGAGCTCGCAATGGCCGATGCCTACCACCATGCTGAAGGCCAAGTTTGTTTTAATCAACATCCAAACTTATAGACAATTAATTTTTCCAATTACCATCGCCCCTCGAGAGGTAATGTCAAGCCCTTCGAGTGTATTTCTGGCTTGAAAATAAAAACTCCTCATAAATATCCATCAGCCGTTCGGAGGTGACTTTGAATAAACTGTAGGTCCCTCCTTTTGGCTGCTGAAATACATGAACAATCAAATACATATTCCAGCATTTAATTTAAAATAAAAAAATGTTTTCATAATAACACATTTAGATTTTTTTTTTTTATTTTTTTTCACAATAACATTTTCGGAATTAGAATTATTTAATACCGCATTTATGATTCCTAAGCCCACCCCTCTCCCTTTTCAAATCCGGTTTGGTAAATTTAATGCACGATTAAGCAGGTGAGCAAATAAGTAAGCGAGAGTGAATCGATTTAGTAAAACACAGAGCGAGTTAGTGAGCTAAAAAGTGAGAGCTAATAATTGCAGAGAGTAAGAAAAATAAATAAATATCAAAATTGAGTTGCCAAATAAAATAAACAAACTCAATATTGAGTTACCAACTTTTGTTATGACATCAGCGCCAACTCAAACTCTCAACAATTTGGCTTAAAGACTCAAAAGCAACAACACTTACACACATACATTTATAAGGTAAAAGCAGCTTACGCCAAAAAACAGCTGATAGATATTAAGTACGAGCCTTAAAGCCGAAGCCGACAAGCTAAACAAGCAAACTACATTGTTATTATATAGTCCATACATACATACGCATAAAGCACACATAAATCGTCGCTTTATTGAGTCACTTTTTGTTTCAAAGCGCTTTTACCACCTCAGCGGCTAACTAGCTAGCACCTTAATTCATACCTCAGCTCCCACAGCGCTCACCAGCACACCGACCGACCGACAAAATTCGCTCACACGCGCTCTGCCGCTCCAGTCCGCTAGTAATCGCTGCTGCACTGGCCATACAAACAACACAAACCAGGTTACTAGCCAACCGAGCAAACGAGTGACTCTGACTCCAGCAGCGGCGAAACGCAAACGTTCCATATTGTCGCCACTTCAAATGTGAAGTGACGCTCGCAGCGAACGGTTGGTTGATTTGTTACAAAATATTCGTCGGTGTCACAAAATACAAAAACACTACTCTAGTGCAGTGCAGTGCAGTGGAGAAGTTAAGCAAATGTGTGAGAAAAATAGAAATAAAACATAAAAAACTGAAAATAAAAATAATAGATAAAACAAAACTTAAACATTCGCTGTGAATTAATTTTTTTTTTTGCCTTTTTGTTGGAGTGTATGTGTTGTTCCCCAGATTTTGACGCGGCGCGTGTGACTTCAAATATACTGTATGACATTCATATATGTTTGTTGTTGTTGTGTATTTTAAGTGTGTGTGTTGGTTCCGGTACGCCGAGAATGAAAGGAAAACTGTGCAGCATTATTTCCTTTGAATGAAAATATTTTTAAAAATCTTTGCAAGAAATTTGTGTTCTTTTCAATCAGTGGTGACAACGTTTAAATTATGCACAAATTTTAAAAATTAAAAAAAAAAAATATATATATGTATACAATTGCTTGTACGTTTATGCAACTATTTCTATGGTGATATATGCAAATGGGCATATGTACATACATATGTACGTGAAAGTGTATGTAGTAAGAACAGTGTGTTTTATTGCGAAATTTGATGAGGAATGTTTTTAAAAGGTAATTTCTTATGATATATCTTTAATATAAATAAAATATTTAATCAAAATTAAATAAAATCAAGTATAATTCTGTAAAATAATAAAATAAAGCAAACTGGAACAGAAAACTACAAAACAAATTATAATAAAATAACAGAAAAATATAAGAGAAAGTCAATTGAAATAAAATAAAACAAAATAAAAAAAGTAAACTGAAACAGAATAATGCAGCATAAATTAGAAGAAAATAAAAGAAAATAAATTAAAATAAAATAGAACACAATAACAAAGCAAAACAGGAAATAAAATAATTTAACACATTAATATAAAATAAAATAAAACAAAATTATGAAGCCAAATAAAATATAATATAAAAAATAAAAAATAAAATAAAATAAATTAAGAATAAATAACAAAATAAAATAATACAAAACAAATTAGAATAAAATAACAGAAATATAATTAAAGAAAATCAAATGAATTAAAATAAAACAAAACAAACTGAAACTGAATAATACAAAATAAATTAGAATGAAATAGAAAAGAAATAAATTAAAATAAAATAAAACTTAAAATATAAAATAAAATATAATAAATTAAAAATGATATAAGAGAAATAAAACAAAACAAAATAATACAAAATTAATTAGAGTAAAATAATAGGAAGTAAACTAAACTAAACTAAGCAAAAGTAAAATAGTAAAAACCTGAAATAAAATTAATTAAAAAATCAATAAAGAAACTAAAACAAAATAAAAGAAGATTAAATTAAAATAAAAACAAAGATATATAAAAATATGAACAAAATATAATATAATAAATATAAATAAAATATATTTAAAAAACAATTAATAATAAGATGCAGTAAAATAATAAAATAAATAAAAAAAAAATGAATTGTAATAAAATAAAATAAAGTTGTACAAAATAAAATAATATGAACTTAAATATAGTGAAATGAAATAAAATTTAACTGAATTAAATTTAAAAAGATATTGTATAAAAAATTATAATAATTATATTTTTTATGTTCTACTAATTTTAAAAGTAAAAATTTTATTATTCCCTGCTTTCGTAATTAAATAATAATAATAATCATAATAATAATTTTCGATCTTTGAAAAATTAGTTAGTTTTCGAAAAAAAACCTAAATTGGTTAATCGGCTTGGATCAAGGCTATTTTGAAGATGCTACCCAAGCTTTAATAACTCGAAAAACTATGGAGCTGAGAGTTAAAAAAAACTTCGAATCATGGGTAATAATCCTTGCTGGGTTAGGATTCATAAAGAGAGAGAGAGAGATGTGTCTCAGAAGAACTATAATATATCAACTCGGTCTACGAACGCTTCCATAGAGTTTCCCAGTATCTCGTATAAAATATAATTGCTGGAATAGCGATTTCTCTCCAAGAAGTACACTCAACTTGGCGATAAAGAAAAGACCAAAAAACAGTATTTTTTTATATGGCAAGCATGGCATAAATTCTGCTATATCCTCGTAATAACGGGACTCTGTCTGATGGCAACTCTTGGTGGAAGGATGAGTTACTTATCTAATGACTCCTGTCACAGCTGCAGTCACATTGGAGAGGATGTGTAGGTTGGAGGACCACCTGTACCAACATCCCGTGCTAAGTGTGGCCCGACATCGTTTGCTCGGTTATTTATTCTCTAACTACTTAACAGATATATGTAGTTCATTTCACAATACAAACTAAATGAGTTGAACATTTAGGAGGAGAACGAACCTCAGCCCTAGAGCTAACAGGCTTACTGTCTCGATCAAGGGATGCTATGTTTGAGCAACCCCCTACTACCTACCTACCTAACCTACCCTAACTACCTATATAAGCCAGTGCCACCGAAACAGATTTCCTTTTACAATACAAACTCAGAATCAAGATCATCGGGTCGTGCTCAACAACTGGTCTTATTATCAGTTACTTGCCTGGGATTAGCTGGATCGTCCATCGGAAACTCATGGCTTGTTTAAATTATGAGAGCCATATTTATTTACTTGAGGAATTTGAACCACTGCGGGGAGGGACTCACGAATTTTCACGCAGTAAGGCACGTCTGTCGTAAGAGTCAATTTAAATCCAAAAGTTCTCGCGACAATTGGGTCTTCCATATTTTCTCCCAAAAACTATGCTTTGCGACTACAGCACCCGAATCTTGAGCAATTCCAACTAAACTCGCTCTTTAAGTGAGGTTTAAAATTTTTTTTTGAAAATTTGTTCCACTTTTTATTGCTTTGCGTTTTACTCGTATCATTCCACTTTCATATTCTTTGATTGTTTTTGCATTTCTTTGTTTGCTTCTATTTTTATACATAAATTTACCTTTTTGAGTTTAATCATTTTGCTTGCTTTTCGTTATACATACATACATACATATGGTACATATCAAATGTACGTCTGCTGATAAGCGCCAACCCCACTCTATCGGCGGACTGTTCCGTTGAGTTGCAGCTTATCGGCAATCGGTGTGTTCACGTATGTAGGTAATTTGTGTGTTTTATTTTTATATTTTCTTTAGCCCCCTCTCCCTCCGACCAAACATACTGCATGCATACATATTTGCGTTGTTTATTTGTTGACACAAGTCGCCATCGCATAGCGTAACTTAACAACAAATATATTCGCAAGTTTACTTACATTTGTATATGACATATATATATATATATATAGATTTTGTATGTAAACATGTTTACATATTTAGCTGTATATAAAAAATATTATTCATATAAAAGTATATAATTAAAATATGGCAAAAAAAAATCTTCTTTTACTGCCGTTCCGACGATTTAATGGAGCGTCAGTTACAGGCAAAGGGTAAAAAATGTAAAACTTAAACAACAACAACTTGCATTAAATTTTTTTTTTTTTTTTGGAAATACAATTACAATTCCAAAGTGAAAAGTGAAAAGGCACACATCTGCATTCACTTATCTTATTAAAAGTATTATTGTATTTTACAAATGTATTTTTCCACCCTCCGCCGTATTCAAGTGCAATTCAAAGTCGTTCAGCATTCGACCTTTACAACAAAAGCATACAAAAACAAAGTAAAATTTTTATCTGCTACTCAATTAAAAGATTGCTTGCTGCTTTTGTAACTTTTAAACATTCACTTGTATGGATATGCATACATACATACTTACATCTCTCTTTTCATAAAAAAAATTGAACTCACCTCAGCGGTGATCGTGCGTATGAATTCAGAATCATAATAAACCTATTGGCTTAAACACATTTACATATGTATATACATGCATATAAAAAATAACAACAACATCAGCAGTTTAAAAATAACAATAATAATAATAAAAAAACATTAAAATTTTACACTCAAAACTGGATTTTGACAAGTCTAAACTCCTAACACAAAGCTGTGGTGGATTACGTGACATTAATGACGTGAGCGGATTACAATTCTATTGAAAATTAGCAAGAAAAAGATAATTTACTAAGCAAAGTTAAGCGCGAAGCTTGTTTTAAGAGAATTTTAAATTTTAAAAGCCAATATTTTTATAGAGAAAATATTTCAATTCTCAAAAGAGTTTATTAAATTTCAAGGAAATTATTAGTGAATTATACATTTATTTATTTGAGTTGTTGCATTTGATTTACATATCTTATTGAAAGCACTCAGAACTCTTGTGAAAACTTAAAACCTGTTGGATTCAATATTATATATGTATGTACATCTCAAGAAGCTATTAGGAGTGAAACATCGCTGGATTACTATATCCCATATATTATATGAAAGATCTATACTCCACATACAGGTGAAAAACTTATTTCGTACGCCGTGTACTTTGCAGATGCCTTGTGACATTCTTCAACCTTCCAGTAGTTCATCCCGCGATCCCTCGTCATTCATTCATTAACCATCTTTTACGCCCCAAATATTCCCATCAAACGTCCACCAATCGCTCGGAGAAGTCAAGCTGCCATGAGCCGTTTGATGATTAACATTGCCTTGATATGCCAATCATGGTACGCTTTTCAGTTCTCTGGCTATGAGCAGTTAGAAAAATTATACAGAAAGCTCTGCAGATTATCGTCCTCCTCCGCTATTGCTTAATTCTTGCATCTCGAAAGCCCCTCCAGCACCAGAGCGCCCAAACTTGATCACTTACACCGATATTCGATATTGGGCATGATGAACTTTATCCGAAAGTAATCAACGATTTTTCTCTCTTATTCCCTACCGAGTTAGACTCATGACTTTTCCATGGCGAGCCTTGTAATCAGCTAGACGAACAATAATGCTAAAGTCGCTTGGCGGCAGTAACTAAGAACTTAAAACCTATCGACCATTTGGTCACAAACTAAGCCGCACCGATCTGAAGGCCGAGAACTAGCGAGGTGAAGATGAAGTAGCTACAGTCCTGGGGGCGAGTTAAAGACGCCTTTGCTTGATAGGCAATATTTGTCGGGATGTCTCTAGGACTATCAATACCTGCCCTTACCATCAACCGGTGAATGGCGATCACCACTCCGATCTCGAGCTTCGGTGCAAGTAAGGTCAGTGTATTACAATAGACTTAACTTCTTTTTATCCAGTCTCGTTCTTGGCTTACCAGCATATTATATGTTTATGAGTTGTCGAACTATATTGATCAGCTCTTAGCATATTCCATAAAACTGTCTCTTCTAATACTCTTGCACACTGGAAGTCAATCTCTCGATATGGCTCGTTTCCCAAACTTCCCCATAGATGATAATTGAATACAAAAAATTTCATTAAATAAATTCAGAGGATTACCACTTGCTGGGCTCAATAGCTGTCCTATACAAATTCTCCCATTCGTCACTCGATACTAAAAGGTGTCTGTATTCAATTATACACTCCAAGGAGGGAAACAATCGGAATGTATATCCATCCAAAATAAATCGAGTGCCGATATCGGGATCAAGCTTGCGAAGAAATGCTTCTTCTCTTCCACTTTAGGCAAGAAGAGAGGGTGGAGGTATTGAACTGTATATACATCGCCGAAACGTTTTCGGGTCG